CAGGGAGGTGGTTGAGTCCCCATCCCTGGATGTGTTTAAGAAAAGGGTGGATGAACTACTTAGGGATATGGTTTAATGGGGATTAGGGACGGTTGGACTCGATGATCTCTAAGGTCTTTTCCAACCTAGAAATTCTGTGATTCTATGATTCAACCCATGGGTCTTCCTTCCTTTTCCTGATTCCCGTCCTCGAGCGGAGGGGTTGTTGGGTAATAGAACAGCTGGCTGTTGTTTAGTCCCAGATACTGGCTAGATATAGACAGGCTGTCCTTTAGTTTTTCTCAGTTTCTAGCTCTAATTTTTCTTTCTTGTGACCTGTGAGCCGGGTCATCATGTCCTACATCATTCTTTGCCTCTTATATAAAAACCTAAAATGCTGGACTGATCTCTCACAAGTTGCACTGTTCTTTCTGGTCCCCCTTGCTGAGCTGAACTACAGAAATTCACTATCTCTTACTCTGTTTAATCTTCTTCCTCTTCTTTAAACTAGATGTGAAGGGGGTGGGGGGTTCCTGTAGTGTTGATTAGTGAGCTGCTGGACTGTTCCTGGCTTTGAAAAATCTTTCAGCTGCAGTAGGAGTGGATGCTTCGGTTGAGTTGTTGGCCATCCATCCAAGTTATCCAGTGTGCTCTTGGCAGCCTGGTGCTCTGGCCACTGTTCGCTCATGCCATGCACGTCTTCCTGTACCAAGATAACTGCTCTGCTGATCAGGACCCACGTCTTCCTGAAGGGCTTATCTCAAGGCTGTGGCATCATATTTTCGGTGATGTAGCACACACACTAGATACATAATGCTGTTTGTGCTGCTCATTATGTGTTGGTAATGCTCTGAGAGTGAGCACGTTGAGCGAAAGCTTCCCTTTTCCTCTGCTTGTTGTTTGTCCCTGTGCTTACGTGTGAAAGCAGAGCTTTCTAGGTAGGATGGGCATAAACAATTGACCTCAGTGCCAAAATGGGCCTAAGCTCCCTCTCAGGAAGCTTGTAGCATTGGCCAGACCTCATGGGTAAGAGCTCGTTGAGGTTTGCCAGGGCTCATCAGCACATCCTGCTGTTCTGGAGGTGGTCCTGCTGCTGGGAGGTGTGAGTGAGATCCCCAGCAGTCTGCTGCTCTGCGGCTTTTCTGTGTCTGGATTGGTTCTGGTTTGTGTCCCAGGATTTGCCTCAGGAATTCAGTTGCTCAAGAGTGCATTTGCTTCTGGGAGGACCAGCCTCTTTAAATGATTACTGCTCTTTTTCAGGAGAAGAAGTTGCCCTGTACTGTGCCAAGTATCTTCCTGAGATAATCAAAGACCAGAAGGCCTATAAGGAAGGCAAATTGCAAAAGGTAAGAATCCGACTCTGCCCTGAACCAAGTAAGCACCAGTGTGGAGGAAAGCCCTTGAGAGGTACCTAATACTTATGTAGAGGGCCTTGTCCCTCCCAGATCTGTCTGCCATGTCTTCCATTTTCATTTCCCTTCCTTGCTTCTAGGAGTGTCCACCAGGTGTCGATTGTATTTTCAAAGATAACCCTCCTTCTATTTTCCAGCTTGCTTTTTTTTTTCTTTTTAAAGATTTTTCAGACTCCTTCTAGTCAAAGGTGTGGGCTGGTTCTTTGAGTGGTTTTGGTGGGGGTTTTTGTGGGGGGCTGGGGCAGCTTCTGTCGGAGGTGGGACGTTAGTTCATGTCTTGCTTCCATCAAGCAGTCCCTCTGTTGTAATTCTCCCTCATGGCACTAATGCCTGAGCTGACATCCGGTATCCCGTGGGTCGGTGCTGGGATCCGTGTGGGCGAGGGGAGGGCAGTCCCTCCAGAACCCTTATAGAATCATAGAATGGTTTGGGTTGGAAGGGACCTCAAGGATCATCTAGTTCCAACGCCCCTGCCATAGGCAGGGGAACCCCTCATTTACATTTAGACTGGGGATAGCCTACAGAGCAAAGCTGAGTCAGTGGCTCATGCTCTGGACTGAAACACCTGAGCACGGAGCTTTGCCGATCCCAGACTGGCTGTGCTCTCTGGGTAGCGGAGCTGTTCCACACAGAGGCTTCGAATGCTGCCCTGTCGCCAGGGCCCCTCTTGGCTCCAGCAAGCCTGTTGACTCAGTGTGCCATAGGACCCTCCTAGAGAAGTTGTGAAAGTGTGGGCTGGATGAGCAGACAGGGAGGTGCATGGACAACTGGCTGCACGACCAGTTGGGCCCAGAGGGTGGTGATCAGTGGCGCCAAGTCCAGCTGGAGGCCAGTAAGGACCAGCCTACCCCGGGGCTCAGCACTGGCTCCAGTCCTATTCAATGTCTTCATTAGTGATCTGGAGGATGGGGCAGAGCGTACCCTCAGCGAGTCTGCAGGTGACACCGAGCTGGGAGAGCAGCTGTGCAGCAGAGGCTTGTGCTGCTCCGTTGTGCAGAGGGCTCTGGGCAGGCTGGGAGTTGGGCTGGCAGGAGCCTCCTGAGATCCAGCAAGGCCAAGTGCAAGGTCCTGCCCCTGGGGAGGAACAGCCCCGCAGCACCAGAACACACTGGGGCCGCCCGGCTGGGAAGCAGCTCAGCAGAAAAGGCCCCAGGGGTCCTGGTGGACACCAAGTTGGCGGTGAACCAGCTACGTGCCCTTGTGCAAAGGTGGCAAATGGTGCCCTGGGCTGCATGGGGCAAAGCGCTGCCGGTGGAGGCAGCTTCCCCTCTGCTTACCGCTGGTGAGGCTGGCCCGGGAGTGCTGGGTCCAGTCTGGGCTCCCCGGTATGAGAGAGATGTGGGCAGACTGGAGAGAGCCCAGGGCAGGACTGGAGCATCTCCCATGAGGAAGGGCTGCGGGAGCAGGGACTGCTCAGCCTGGAGCAGAGGAGGCTCAGGGGGATGGAATCCGTGGCTGTAAGTACCTGGGGGAGGTGCCAAGAGGTTGGAGCCAGGCTCTGCCAGTGGTGCCCAGTGCCAGGACTGGAGGCAACAGGTACAAACTGCCCCATGGGAGGTTCCCTCTAAACATCAGGAAACACTTTTCAGTGGGAGGGTGACCAAGCTCTGGCACAGGCTGCCCAGGGAGGTGATGGAGTCTCCGTCTTTGGAGCTATTCAGAAGCTGTCTGGACATAGTCCTGGGCAACCGGCTCTGGGTGTCCCTGCTGGAGCAGGGTGTTGGATCAGGTGGACCGCAGAGGTCCCTGCCAGCCTCAGCCATTCCGTGATTCTGTATGGTGTGTGTTCTGGAAGAGGCTCAAGTGCACAGCATGGCACACAGGCATCCCGTAAGGAAAACGAAACTGTGCACACTCTCATGTCTGTGTTCATACATAGGCCCTGGAAGATGCTTTCTTAGCCATAGATGCCAAGCTCACCACTGAAGAGGTGATTAAAGAGCTCTCCCAGATGGCTGGGCGACCCCAAGATGATGAAGATGAGAAGGAGAAAGTTGCTGATGAAGATGATGGTAAGTCAGATGCCACTGAATAGACAAGACTGCAGCTGCCGGACAGGGACTGAGAGCAGTTGGGCCAGGTGTCCTTTAGTGCAGAGGGTTTTCTGTCCAAATTTCTCAGTTAAATTTCAGCTGGAGTTGAACTGCCACCCCTCAGCACTGTTCACTGCTTTGGGCTGGTGCTTGGGGAATTCTCCTTCACTTGGTAGACTAATCCTGTGAGTTACAAACCAGTCTGTCACGGTTTTCTGTAGGGCTTCCTCCATGGGGTGCGGGGTTCTAGGATGTGTCAGAAGCCTCTGAACTGGGAAGTGGGCTAAGTTGTGGAAGTGAAACAGTATGTGCAGGGCTTCGCTCTCGCAGGCTGGTGGCAGACACCAGCAGCAGATGGGATTGAAGCAGATTCTCTTCTCTTCAGCAATTCTCTTTCTCACAAAGAAGCAAGTTGCTTTTCCACCAGCAAGTAGTTGCCAGACCATGAATCCAGCAAGAAGGTGAATCCCAGGGCAGAATCCTGTGCTGCTCTTGGCAGAAAGTCTTGGGACTAGCCTTGAAGCAGATCTAAAGCCATACCGTCACCTTGAGTGCTGCGTATTGGTCTGAAAATGCTGAATTTGTTGGCCTTCATTCTCCAGCTGACAGAGATGAAGTGGTTTTTCGGTTGGTTTGTTGGGCTTTTTTTTTTTGTCTTGTATTTTCAGGGGTATCTGGGATATGGGTGTTTCTTTTCCTTTTGGGATTAACTAGCAAAGAAAGTTATAATGAAGGGGATGTCAATAGGGAAGCAGTGGTCATTAGCTTAGTTAGGGAAAGTCGTCCTGTTTTCTCCCTCGTGTCCCGCTTGGGAGATACTGTGTGCGCTGCCTAAAGCTGTTCTTGTTTGTAAGGGTCCAGATTACAGCGGGCTGGGGTCCCTGCGGTGCTTAAGGCCCATGGAGCAACTGCTATAACAAAAACTTCTTGTTCCCGACTGCAGCATTAATGAACAAATCCGCACATGAAAGTGGTCTGTCTGCTTCCCCCACCGCTGCAGATGAGCCCGCACTCAGAAACGTGAGGCTCTTTATCACAAACCCTACATCTGATTTAGAGCTCTGTGCTGCCTGCAAGCCTGGCAGACAGCGCCAGAGGCAGAGGCACAGGGTACCTCGCAGATGCAGCATCGAGCCCTTCCCCTGCCGTTTGCACATTGTTCAAACCTGCCGGACAGCCCAGGTCTGCCTGCTTCTGTCTGTGCCGGCTGGTGATCAGCCTGCTGAGCGCTGCTGAAACCCAGCTGCAAGAGCACCTTCCAGCCAGGGCAGCTCACTGCTGAGCCCCGTGTGTGGTGATGTGTCCTGCTTTCTGACCCTCTTTGTCCTCACCCCCCTCCCCCTTTCCGTTTTTAGTGGATAATGAGGAAGCTGCTCTTCTGCATGAAGAAGCCACAATGACCATTGAGGAGCTTCTCACACGTTATGGACAAAACTGCACCAAGAACCTCAAAACCAAGTCTTTAGCTCCAGCTGGGGAGAGCACTACGGAGGGGACAGGCAAGCAGCATGATGGGGAGTCAAATATGAATGGAGAGGCTGACCCAGGGGAGCTTACCGACCACAAGGAGAGGAAGAATGGGAAGCCAGATTAAGAAATCTCGGGTATTTCCTCCGCCTCAGACAAAGCCAGCGCTGGAGGCAACAGCCCTGCTCTGCAGAAGCCTGAACTAGGCAAAGGTGACGAGGCCGTCACCTCTTCTACTGGGGAGGCCGGGCCCTCCTGCTCCTCTACGGGAAAGCCCCAGCGCACAACCAAATCCAAATTTTTTGAGGACAGTGAGGATGAGTCAGATGAGGTTGAGGAAGAGGAGGAAGACAGTGAGGTAGGAAACAGCACTGGGACAGAGTGGCCTTCTGGCTGGGCAGAATGCATTGCTTACTGTGGTACTTGAGCTGCGAGCCTCTGGCTCATCCTAGGTGTGTCCTAGGAGTAGGTTTTTCAGGCTGATACTTTAAGACCATCTCATGGGAGTGTCGGGGATTGTTTAGATAACCCTGAAGGAAACATACCCTCATCTGTGCAGCGGCTGTAACTAATAGCCCTTGGTCTTGCTGCATGCACCATCCCTCCATTTTCTGTGTTAGATGAACCTCAGCTGCTCTGATTGCAGACATCAGGTGTGGGGGAAACGTACCAGGTCATCTCGCTCTTCTGGGGCGAACTTGTCGTCTGTCCCCAGGACGGAGTGACCAGCTGTCTGGGGAGGGCACTGAGAGTGTCCTGTGTGACTCCTGGTGGTGTCTCTTGTTTCTTGTAGGAATGCAGTGAAGATGAGGATGGTTACAGTAGTGAAGAGGCAGAGAACGAAGATGATGAAGATGACACTGAAGAAGCAGAGGAGGATGAGGATGAAGAGGAGGAAATGTTGTTACCAGGCATGGAGGGGAAAGAGGAGGTGCAAACCCTGTTCTTGTGTTCTGCGACATAGTGTGGAGCCAAGGGCCCTTGGGGGGACTCAGCAAAGAGTTATTTCCATTCAGATGGGAATAAAACATGCCTTTTGTTCTCCCCAGGCTGAACACAGCTGCTGACAGCCCGACTTTATGCAAAAGGCTGAGGGATAAGGCATGGATCTGGGCGGCAGGTTGAGATCAGAAGAGACTGACCCTGCTGCTGGGTTTGCTGTGAGGGCTGGTGTCAGGGGAGAGTGCAGGACAATAGCAGGACTGCTCTGCTGGCACTGCTGCTCTTGGGCAGGGCATTGCTCTGCCAGGCCAAGGCTGTGGCTTGTCAGCCCAAGGCAGTGCCAGCAGATGGGCCAGGGACCCAGGATGTCAGGAAAAGAGGACTACAGCTTCCAAGGTACCAACCTCCTCTCTTTGGAGAGATGTCATAGAATCATAGAATGGTTTGGGTTGGAAGGGACCTCAAAGATCATCTAGTTCCAACCCCCCTGCCATGGGCAGGGACACCCTTCACTACACCAGGTTGCCCAAAGCCCCATCCAACCTGGCCTTGATCACTTCCAGGGATGGGGCAGCCACAGCTTCTCTGGGCAACCTGTGCCAGTGCCTCACCACCCTCTGAGTGAAAAATTTTTTCCTTATATCTAATCTAAATCTGCCCTCTTTCAGTTTAAAGCCATTGCCCCTTGTCCTGTCACTACACGCCCTTGTAAAAAGTCCCTCTCTAGCTTTCCTGTAGGCCCCCGTTAAGTACTGGAAGGCTGCAATAAGGTCACCATGGAGCCTTCTCTTCTCCAGGCTGAACAGCCCCAACTCTCTCAGCCTGTCTTCATAGCAGAGGTGCTCCAAATGCAAATGTCCTGTCTTGCAGTGAGGTTTCTGCTTGAGTTGGGCTGGAATCAACATATTAGAGCTGAGAGTATAGCAGGGCATGTTGAATGCTGGAGAATCCTGAACCACCAATGCTTTGTGAGGCTGGAAAGGAGGAGGTATTGCTTGGCCCTGCCTCTCACTGACCACGCTCCCGCTGTGTTCCACGTTTCCCTTGGGCTTTTCCCCGTTGCTCTGTATATGCTTATGGAAGAAGGGATGAGACACAGTACCTCGGGGTTTGGGACACTGCTGGGCCTGTGGCGGCCAGTGCTGGTTCCCTGATTGACCTGGTGTGGAGCAAGAGAAAGGAGTCTCAGCAAAAACATTTGTTTCTTGCAGCCTGGCTCTGACAGTGGGACAACTGCTGTCGTGGCGCTTATCCGGGGCAAGCAGCTGATCGTGGCTAATGCCGGAGACTCTCGCTGCGTGGTGTCGGAAGGTGGCAAAGCTGTCGACATGTCATACGACCACAAGCCAGAGGATGAGGTGGAGCTGGCCAGGATAAAGAATGCTGGCGGCAAGGTCACCATGGATGGGAGAGTGAATGGTGGCCTGAACCTCTCCAGGGCAATCGGTGAGCACGACGGGGGTGAACGCTGGCAAGCCTGGCCTCAGAGTGCTGTGCTCAGGGCATCCGTGCTTCCAGCACTTGCCAGCCACGAAGTTTAAGGAATAATTTGTGACTGAATGACGAGTAGAACCTATTCAGTATTTGATGTGGTGAGGTTTCAGTCTAATTAGAGAATGGCCGTGAAACTGGCAGGCGTCAGTGGAAAGCAACACCGAGCACCTGCATGGCTCCAGCACAGGATGGAGTGTGTGAAGCCTCTGAAGCTGTGGTGCCAACAGGTGGCTTGTCAGAAACCGCCTCATATCAACTGTCTTAGAAACAGACCGTTGATTTTTGAACAGGACTTTTTCCTGTTAGGAGGCTGTTGCTCCCTGGGGACCTAACGTTCTATCAGGTGGAGCTTGTTTGTTCCTGAGCCAGCCTTGCCTTTGGCTTGCACAAACTCCATCTCCCTTGCTGCAGTGCTTTAGACAGCACCTGGCTGCTATTCCTACTCGTCCTTTGGTCTCTTACGAGCAATGTTGGAGTAAGTAATGGCTCAGGAGATGGGGCCTGTCTGTTAGTAGCCAAACAAGGTCTTGGCCCAGTCAATGGCTACAGTCTGAGCAGATAGGATGCTGGGAGACATTAAGGAAAGGGTAGTGAATGACACTGAGAATATACTGGGAAATACACAGAGAAGAGAAGGAAACCGGCAGCTAAGGGTGTGAGTGGAGAGTACTTGTGTAGAAAGACCAAAACCATGGACATTATTATCCTAGGGTAAAGAGATAAAAACACATTCAGGACAAAAACTAGGAGTCTGTTTATCTAGGCAGACCCTGGCATTTCCACCTACTATTCTACCATTTTGCGTGGCCCTTCCTAGGAATGTTATTCCAGATAAGCCTGCTAGTCAGAGCTGAGGATCAGTTTTCTCAAGTGAGCTTTGGCCACTGAGGGTTTGGGAAGACCTGAACCCAGCTGTGAGATGAGGGCATCACACTGAGACATCTGGCCCTGGACAGCTTCTGGAAAATGAGCATCTAGTGTTGCCACAGCAAAGCCAAGCTAGTGCTGGGGTGAGCTGCAAATCCTGCTCCAAGACATGAGAGAGCTCATCCCGTGAGCAGTGCTGCAGGATCTCAGCCGGTGGTGTTTGATGCCGTGTGCCGTTGGCCTGGTGTTGCCTCGGAAATGGGGGAGGTGGCACTTTGGGGTGTAGAGACTGAACTATCAAAGAAGCTCTTTCTCATTGTTTAGTAACAACGCGTTGGGCTTGCCGAAGCTGGTGCCTTGGGCACGTGGCAGATTTCTCTGTCTGATGTGCCCACTGCCTGATCTGCTCTGGCTGTGGGAGCACTTGTGCTGATTCTGCTGGGGTTGCCCTTTGGCAGGGCAGTGTTTCTCACTGTTTGGGGTGGGCAGCCCTGCCGGGGCCCAGCCACAGCAAAAATCGATCCTCCTCTACACTACAGGCGATCACTTTTACAAGCGGAACAAGAATCTGCCTCCAGAAGAACAGATGATCTCTGCCTTGCCTGACATCAAAGTGCTGACAATAAATGATGACCACGACTTCATGGTCATTGCCTGTGATGGAATCTGGTGAGTAGTGAGGGAGCAGTTGTGCCTCTTGGGCGTCACTCCTCTGGTCTTCCTCTGGAGCTGGGCTTCAGGAAGGCCCACGGGCCCTGGGTGCTAATCAGCCCTTTTTCTCCTGTGGCCTCAGAGAGTTAAGTTGGGCCCTGGGAGCTGTTCTCAGCTGGAGGGGCATCAGAGTGTGCTGAGCACTGAACCCTCCCGTTCCTCACTGCATGAAGCCTTGTTCCTATCAGCTCCCTGACACAGTGAGGCTCTCAGGACACTATGGCATGACTGCTCCCTTTACTTGCCCTTCTGACCTCTCCACTCTGCAGGAATGTGATGAGCAGCCAAGAAGTGGTGGATTTCATCCAGTCCAAGATCACCCAAAAGGATGAGAATGGAGTCCTGAGGCCACTCTCCTCCATTGTAGAAGAGGTAAGGCCCAGAGCTTCACTATCCCTCGGCACTCAGTGTTTCTGCATCCCAGCCTGGTGCCTGACTGCCCTCCCTCTCCATCAGACTGGTTTGTCCAGCACTTGCGGTGTCTGGCAGCCTGGGGGCAGCAGTGCTGGCTGGAACAGGAGCAGAAACGCCTCTGAACTGGGACGCGGCTCCTTTGGCACCCTGACCAGTGCTTCTGACCTCTAGGATGCTGTCAAGCTGAAGGAGTTTCTGTCCACTTTCAGAAAGCCGGGGCTGCTGAGGCTGTTTCTGTCCCGTGTCCTGTTGGGAAGAGCATTGGAGCCCAGCTTGCACCGTTCTGCTTGGCAGCCCCAAAACCACTGTCAGTTGCTGGAATGGGCCCAGTGTCTCAGGTTATTCGTAGTGCTGTGTCCGTGCTCTCTGCTAACCTGTCCTGCCCTGTTCTGTCCCTTCTCAGCTGCTGGATCAGTGTTTGGCTCCAGACACCTCAGGGGACGGCACCGGCTGCGATAACATGACCTGCATCATTATCAGTTTCAAACCCCGTAACACACACCCACCTGCTGAAAGTGGGAAGCGGAAACTGGAGGACGTGGCTCGGCCCCAGCAGAAGAGAACGGCGGTGGGAACAACAAGAAGGCCAAGCTGGAATAGCAGCCCCGCACAGGGACTTGGCTGTGCGCTCACCAGACTCGTTTCTTAAACATGCTGAACTCAAGACTCCAAAGTCTTGTCCTTTTTTTAGCCTTAGC